CGTCGGGGGGCCGCTACTTCCGCCGCTACTCGATGACGAACTTACGGAAATTACACTGTGCGGCCTCCTGCTGCAGCGTCCCGAGTCCTCTGACATTGATACCGCTATCGAGTTTCTAAATCTAGGTGCTGCTTAATAGCAAGCAATTAAATTAATAGCTATACAGATCTTTCTTCGTAGGTGATTTAATATTATTTAAAGTCATGAAAGATCATTCCATTCAAAATAATCGATCGTATACTTACTTTTCGAAAGTTGAGCTACACTGATAGAACGATCATTGATCTGATCCGCGCTAGGCCTAATGTCCAAACAAGGTTTATTTCCGATGCCCATGCTCGACATCTCTGCCAGGCGCACTTCTGTCATCACAAAAGGCGTTCTCGTTAAGTCGGCCCGCAAACACGGTTGCAGGAAGCTATATTTCAAAACGTAGCGTACCTCTGTTTCGCAGCGCCTGTTTCCATAAAAGGTTGCTCAGTTCCTCCGTCCAGGCTTTCTTAATGTCCTCGCTTGCACACTGCAACGTGTACGTGTCGCCTGGTTTCCTCTTGCGGAACCAAATCTCGAACTTCGTAGGTGAGTCCGCGATCACGGCGGTCAACCCGATGTCCGTCGTTTTGATGCTGTGCTTATAGATGTAAATATCGAGGTTCTGAAAAAGCAAGCAACCCATCATTTATATATCGCACAACGAGCAGATCGGTAAACTACATAAAGTAAATTAAACAGCTGTCTCACCTTTCTGTCGGGGAATCTTCTCGCTTTGCTGAAGAGAATAAGGTCTTCGAACAGGAAAACTTGTCGCAAGCATTTCTTGCCTTTACCCTGCCACACCAAGAACTCGTTTTGACGAAGTAGTCTGCCCTGCTCTTTCACGTTCACCTACAATTTACGTAAATTTTACCGTCTATAGAATCCTGTTACTACGACAAAGAACGACTCTCCATTGCCATTGTTGACACGATTGTCTCTTCTACTATTTATTACATTATTATTTAGTTACAATATCATGTCTCTAAAACAGTATTGTATATTAAATACGTGGACATACATCGCAATCTCGAAGGGAATCCATCGCCAGCAGGTCGTTCCCGTGACGTAGTTGGAATCGTACCATCTGCTCAGCCGCCCTCAAGTCCGCCTCCCCTTCGACCATCGGCTTCATACCGTCGTCCTTCTCATCCTTCTCGTCTTTACCGGACATTTGTTCCGAGAGATCGGTGCCTGCTTTGACCAGCTGCTGTAGCAGTAGCGCGTACTTTCCCATTCGTTGAACCGGCTTCAATAGGTAACTAGCAAGGTCCATCTTGTCACCGAGCTCGAGTTGCTTCTGCTTGAAGAACGCGGTGCCGTACTCGGCCATCAGGGAGTCGGAATTTGGTTTGTTCTTGTTGTACAGTGCATAAAGGTAGAATTTTTTCTCCTGCAATGTGAATGTAACGCAAAAGCGATGATCAGTAAAGTAAAACATTCAACACAAAGAAGATAAATTTAAGAGAAGATCTAGGAAAGAATTTGAAAGAAAGAAAAAGACTCACGTGTCTGAGGAAGCATTGTCCCACGTTCATTGGCGACTGTTCGCACTGTTCCAGTTCCCGTAGGAAATGCTGACTATGAAACTCGTATATCTTCTCGACGTTACCGAAGATCACGTTGCGTTGTCCCCTGAGCGCCTGAGGAATGTCCTCCCTCACCAACTCCGGAATATAATTCTTTTAAAAACAATGATAAACGTTAATCACGATATCAGCAAAATACGATGCGACGCGTATGTTAAGCGATACGAAGCAAAACAGTTACCTCTATTATATACTCGAGAGACTTTACGTAGTCCCGCTCGGTCTGTATCATTTCCCTCATTATGAGCAGTATTGTCCTGCAAGGTGAAATTCCTCGTTAACCACGTTGCCGCGCATGTAACAATTCCGCATAATCGCACGATAGAATTATTATAGATAAGTATTGTTAGCAAGGCTGAGCCGAAGAACACGGAAAAAGAATCGAAAACGTAACGAGAAATCCGCTATCTCTCACGCGGGGTTTGAACACACTGAGGAACTTTTATATTCCTAGTAAAAAGCTTTTAACGAGAATGTTAATCAGGTTAGCGATAATAACAATGCCAGTTGCACAGCACTTGCATATACATTCAGACTACTAGAATAGTAAAAAGAATATTACTTTGAAATAAAACAGAATTTTTATTACGTACTTTTTGGCCTTCATTCCAGGAGCAATGCTGGCAGCTCTGTGAAGGTGTGAGTTCACCGGTGGCTTGACCAGCCTTCGTGGAGCAGGGCTTCGGGGTGGCGTTCGCGGAGGAGAGCAATCGAGCAGCTGTTCGGCGCTCTCTCGAAGCTCCGCGATGTTGTCCAGTACCGGTCGACCGCCGCTTCCTGCCGATCCTACACTCTCCATGGGACAAGCGTACGATGCGCTGCTGTCGCTGTCATCCCACGAAGTTCCTGGAACAGTCGTAGCACATTGCAGTGGAGACACTTCCAAGGAACGATCGGGGTAAGTGAATGAATCTTGGAATATTTTCAACTTGTACTCTTTTTGCTTTATCTCGGTATAGTTTTCATATCGTGTTTCGAACGTTAAACGCGGACAAGGTTATACAACTTATAAATGGACGTTCACACGCACTTAATTTTTATCAATTTTAAGTCTAAAACACAAATACCGTGAATGATGGATCGTTCTATATTATCTAAATAAAAATATCCTTTTGTGTTTAACAAGAATAATATTTTATGTGTTCTAACGCATATAATACCAAACATTATGAGCATAAAGTAAATAGATAGTAAAGAGCAAGAGATCTACGTACTCTTCGTCAAACTGTCCTCCCAGGAGGTAGCAGACTCCGAGGCGGCGAAGGATCTCCTCCTGGCTGGACTGCCAGGTGCGGAAGTCGTCCTCGCCATTTCCAGCGCTTCCGCGCACTTGTTCCTGGCGATGCGGCATTGTTCCAAGAGGATCTCGTTACCGAGCTTCTCGGCGAGCGCCATCATTTCCGTGAAATGCTCGGGAGGCAGGGGTGGTCTGGCCATCAGAAACTGCTGGGCCCCCCTTTCGCCAGCGAGACGAGCCTCCTGGGCCCACTCGTACGCCCGATCCTGAAGCAGGCAACATCTCGATGTGTCTTCGAGGTATTCGCGCCTGTCCTCCAGACGGGAACCGAATCCTCGAAGGTGATGCTTCAAGGATCTCGCGAGTTCGCGAAGTCCACTCGCACTCGCCGCCTCGGCAAGGTCGCTTCCTTTGTCAAGATGTCTCTATAACAGAAAATGGTAATTCGATGATACTTCATCGTTATTCTAATCGTCAGTTATGATCGAGATATTAATTCATTAAATACACCATTGTTTACTGCAAAAGAATTTATGAATGTCAAAATTATACGTGAATTATACTAAATAATTCAGTTACTCCATTCACAGTATATATATACACATTGAATCAACATATGACTATGAGAAGATTCATTACTATAAAACAAAGAGATAAAGCAAACGACCATGTGATTCCACGCTATTTCTAGATTTATTGTTTCTCCTCGAATGCGATTCCCCTAGAACTGTGTTTGTTCAGATTTGCCATGAATACGATATTGTGTGTAAACACACGAAACTATTTCATCGGTCTGACCGTAACAAAAGAGAACAATAAAGACCCTGCTTCTTCGGTGGAAACGATATCCTGTTCTGAGCGAATCGAACTGGAACTCCCGCGGTGCAGTAGGGAACCGTGCCTAATGGCGGGACCATAAATCGACATATGGGGAAAGGAACGCAGCGATGAGCAAGGGAGCTCGTGCTCTTCGCTACAGGACATTGTCTATTTGTGCATGGAGCGAATGGGAGACTGTTTACACAAAACCTACTCCATTTATAATCTATAGCCTACAGAGTGTCCACCTATGATGAACTATTCTTTCACAAGGAATATAAATTATATTCCAAGCAAATATTTATATGGATAACAGTAATTTAGAACTTGAAAAACTTACAGAAAAATTTATAGGTTCTCACGTTTCAGAAATTTACAATAACTTTCATTGTTCGAATAATGAAACGTTTTACATGATATCTATCATACTTTGATTTTGACGTAATATAATGATATCCAACGAGACTCGACAAAAAACTCGATTTCAGCGATCGATTTTCAATACGTCGCGCTGGAATAACTACCATTATCCCTTACGCGAGTGAAGCGTGAAATCCCGTTGGACATGGATTGGTAACATCCTGGAACAAGAACAATTTCGGTAGAGTGGCCATGTCGAAAATGCATCACGTTTCACAGTACACGGGTTGAATCATATGTCAAAACTATGAACAAGATAGATGTCTCGTGCAACCGTTCGGTTCGCGATCTTGACGATCTAATATTCTTCTTCGAACGAATACAATCCATAAATTTCCTGATTTTCTAAACGAACGAATACTTTGTACTTGTTCGTGAGCATTGCGATTTGGATTAACGATCGAACTTCAATCATGAGTTTGCAGGGTTGATCAAGGTAATTTTTGAAAGTTTCCAAAAGTTGGGGAGATCGCTAGAGATACAAAATATTTAGAAAATTGAATTAGAGCGACGAATTGTTCCATTTCCGTTGGCAGAAGTACACTTGGATCAAAGTTTCTACGTTTCGCGCTTCACGGTCGACTGAAAGCATCACTGGTACAGAATCCCGAAGCTAGGGGAAGAAATATCTCGTCTCTGCTTTCTGTATCTACCCTCTCCTCTTGGACACGTGGCAGGATCCCTTCTTAAGCCGTCGGAAATGGTTCTCTCTGCTCTTGGAACGAAGGATCGCGACACGTGCAACGGTGCACGTTAACGAAGCATATCGAGAATATCGTTAAAATTCGTCCGTAGCTAACGAGCATCGTTAACAAACGCCGCTCTAAAATTACTCATTTCAACCGTATCGATATCGCTGGTATGTTATTGAACATTCGATACAACAGAAGTACGTACAATTCGTTACGTATTCGCAAAAGTATTCAGTGATCGCGTGTCAGATTAGTTGTAAAATTACAGTTGTTAAAAGATTTTGCAAAAATCTGCAAAAATTACAAATACGTGGCGAAATATTACGTTCACGGAATAATCGAAATTATGAGTCAATTACGTAAGATTAGAAGTTTCCGTAAGTGGATATTATGTATTTCGATCTGATATAACGATTAAAAGTCTCATAATATAATACTTCAATACCGAGATTTATTCGAATTCTTCGCTATTAGAAAAGAAGTATCATTAGTCTGTTAGCAGAATTTAGGTGATTATTATTTTATTTCATTTGATGGTTATTATTTATATAGGACAGTATGTTTTATCGAAGTATAATACTTAAGTTCAGTTATACCTGTTCGATGGTATGGTGGCACTACAGAAAGTTTCCGATACAAACTGCGATATCGTAATCAGTACGGCGTCGACCTTTCGCACGACACGTCGATCGTTTGTAAATTCCTGCTTTCTACTCGGAAAATGTATTCGCTGATTTTCTCAGGTACTGTGTCTCTTTCTATCATTTCTTTTATTTATTCATCTTTGTATATTTTTGTATATTTACATTTGTCATATATACGTAAATATCCGCAGTGTAATTACAATATATGAAATGATTCATATATAATTATTAGAATAATTGATCTGTAATAACGAATAAATTATAAAACAGTTTATCTTACACAAATTGCAACTTCGATATCTGGACACAAGGCAACCATTAATCAAAATTAATACGCCAATACCACTGTACTAACCAGAACGCTTGACGAAGTTTCAATTAGGATATTGAACTTCTCGTATACCGCTCGACCGATTATGAATGGCTGGTACGATGCGTAAAATATTACCAAGGGAGACTGACAACGTTTCACCGTCGCGTTTAATCAACAAAATCATCCGAATGCGGGGTGTGTTCCCTCGTGGGCCAGTCTACGATCTTGCCAAACGGAAATCTCGAAATTCAGGTTGATTACTGATTTGGATTCGGGTAGAAATTTGCCCGCATCTTTACGAAACCGAGTGGCCCGCATTTAACAATACGAAAACGCACGAAATACATGCGCGATCAAGAATATTATCGTGTCCCCGATAGAGAAATCATTCTGCGTTAGTCTGGCGCAAGGAACGCCGCGAAAGTATGCGCGTACATACTTTATTTCGCTACATTTCCATATTTATAAGCGTCTGCACAGTTCGTTCGCGAATATTAACGTTTAATTAATTTACTCGAGACACGACAACCCGCTGCTCGAATTCTCTCGATCACCGTAACGGAGAGTTTTCGCAACGGGCAACAGAACGAATCTATTAACACGATTTTTGAAATTTTATTCATTTTATTCAATATTTAAAAGAAATTTTTCCTGATATGGCAGTTGTTATTAAACGACGGGACTTTCGTGCGGTTTTCATGCAACTATAAACAGCACAGTTTTAATTAAAGATTTTCACAGACTACGATTCGAAAATACGGCTACATCGATAATGTCATTTTATTACTTCCATTCACGATCTCATTATATTGATTCTACCGATATAAAAACAGGGGCAGATAGTAGCTAGAAAGGATTGCATAGCATATCTTAAGACACAAAGTTTAATCAAGAGTTCCATTAGTTACCACCATCCCTATAATTACGCTCGAAGAAAGAAATCACCGCAGACGTAACACGGGTGCATAAGATTTCGCAATTGATACGCATTACCTTTCTCATTTCCCGGTTATGTCTACTGTTTCTCCCACCGTAACGGACATAATCGAATATTATCATTAACCGCGGTTCTTGCTCACCATGTATACCTCACAATTCTCTCCATTAAACAAACATACCGGTTACATAAATAAACAGCAATAGTCCATCATCTGCACGCGTATTTGGAACGCCTCGATGTACGCTGCCCGCAATTACGATCCATCGATCGTCATCGGTGGATCGTGACGCGACAAATGTCTACGGTTGCTATTGCGTAACGAGACTCGATCGGTGGACGCAACAGGAAAATCTCGGTGAACACCGAGCAGGTCGCGGCTGGTTATTATGGCGGAATGTAGAAAGGCGCCTCTCGTCGTGCATAATTGCCGAAGCGTGAAAGCAGATTAGCTAAAAACGTGACCAGCCGCGTGCACAGAGACCACGGATTGGAACAGTGAACCGTGTGCGCCCATTAATTGGTACGTATCGACGATTAACACGATAAATCGTCAATTAACGCGGTCTACGCTCGCGGTTTACACGACGATCCTTCATGAGAGTATAAAGACGATGTCTGTGTAACAGGATTACACTTTCTAATGAGATTGCTGAGTATTTCTGCGAATTCGAATGTTAGTTTCGTGATGTGTAATGAGATTCGATTGGAAACGCATGGCTTTATAACGGTATCTACGTGAAATGTTCTGGTGTCTGACGTTTTACACAAGAAGAATACACCTTTTGTTTTCAATCGAGAAATTGCAAGTTATGATCGCCTATCTCGAGATCTAATATCGTTGTGTAATTATTGTATATCGTTTGAAGATAGCTCTTTAGATATTTGCTTTTGATTCTTCTTTATTTGTAATAGGATAAATCTTGAACTTTCAAACAATTTGAGTAGTTAATTCCTATTATTTAAGTCGAATACTTACTGGCACGTAGACAAGCATCATATTGAAATACGAAGTGTACATTTATGTAGAATCTATACAATCTAGTTTACCACATAGCTAATAAATGATATGTAACGATCCGATAGAACGTTAAGTGCAATAACCGAAACACCTAGTGGTTTCCGTAACTTCAGTATTACCGCATCGATGCATACATATATAAAAACAATACGATTGAGAAAACACTGATTAAAAAGTAGGTTATTTACATAACGTGGCGTAAGAGAAGGCTTTTACGGGTCGGATTTTTATAATCGAAACCATTTGCTTACGAACCATATCCTAACATACTTAATCAAAACTTTCAATATTAGTCTCAATTAATAACGAAATATATTTCTACTAAGAAAAGTTGCATTCCATGAGAGTTATGCATCGAGGAGTACACAAATCTCTTGTCAACTTTCGAGCGCTATCAAACCCTTCTAATCGTCGCGTCCTCGACATGGCCCGTTTATCATCGACGCGTGTCGACGCGCTTCCGCGTCTATGGACTTTCTTGTACAGCCGGGCGAAGTTGTTCTACCGGTAGTCGCGTAGCTTTTCAGAATCTCGACGAACGAACCGGACATGTTGACCGCGTCGCGTCGAGAAGATGTG